TCTTTTACGAGAACTGGTTAAAGTGACCAGTTCTTTTACGAGAACTGTATGCACCCTGCAGTTCTTTTTCCAAGAGTTGGGTAATGTGATCAGTTCTCGAAAAAGAACTGACTACTGTGACCAGTTCTTTCTCAAGAACTGGGTAAAGTGGCCAGTTCTTTTTCAAGAACTAGCTACTGTTAGGGTGTGAGCGTGCGGTTTGGGTGCTGGTGTGCGTGTAGGTGTGGGTGCGGGTGGGACTGTGAGGATGTGAGATGGAGGTGGATGTAAATGAAGAGAACATTGATACTGACACTCATATCCACATCCACACCCACACTCATCGACACCAACATCCTGTTTAATCCATATGAAAAAAGAGCTCAGATAACCCTAAGATTGATCCGAACAACCCTACGTTTTGTCCTGATAATAGTGAAAAAAAACCGTACTAAAATCTTATTGGTTGAGAATCGATCAGTCAGATTCGAGGACGCTGGTTCGTCGTTATTGTAAGAACAAAACATAAGGTTGTTCGGGTTATATGAAAGAGCACCTCGGGTAACCTTAAGCTTGGCCCGAACAACCTTATGTTTTTCCTTACAATAGATAAGAACCAGCGTCCTCAAATCTGATTGGTCGATTGTCAATCAATCAGATTTTATTTGGGCTTTTCTTCACTATTAGCAGGACAAAACGTAGGGTTGTTCGGGTCAATCTTAGGGTTATCTAGGCTCCTCTTTCATACGATCCGAACAACCGTATGTTTTGTTCTTACAATATTTGAGGAAGAGTTCCCTCGAATCTGATCAGTCGATAGTGGGAATGTACAGTTCCCGGCTGATGAGGGGTCACGCGGTTGAACTGTACCGCTCTAATGAACAGAAGCGAAAATAGATCGAGTCTTATAGGTGACTCGCATATTCGAAGTACAGTAGAAGCGCTGACATTCAAATCAACGGCTCATGAGCGTGAACTGTACACTTCTAATGGTAACGTGCATTTTTTTAAGGTTTCAAAAGATTCCAAAACAATCTAAAGGATTCCGAAACATTGCAAAAGATTCCGAAATATTTTAGAGATTTTGGACACAAAAATCTCCGTTTTTTCCCTCGAAGAACTTGTAGTTACAGATCAGCTCCTATAAAAGAACTGGCTGAACAGACCAATTCCTATCAAATAACTAATAGATACAGGTCAGTTCCTATCAAAGAACTGGTTGAACAGATTAGTTCCTATCAAATAACTGTTTGAACAGTTCTCAAGATCGAAACTGATATGGAATTGTCCTAGGCCTAAACACGAATGATCATCTCCTTTATTCAATATATGAAGTGTGTTTTCTGATACTAACAAACTTCCTCGATGCAGTTATGTCAAAGTGATTATCATCTTTCAACTCTGAAACCTCTGAAATTTTCATACGTCCATATGGCTTTTTTTATCTACCGCATATTCAGTAAAGAGATGAGATACATATAAGTCGTCACTATTAATCCAGGAAGTTACCAAATAGATTTTTTATTGGTTGCTATGAACTCTCATTAAATTACTGTTCGAACATATAAAACAGTCAAGATATGTATACTTCAAGGCGACAGTATTTTTAGACTAATTAGATGCCAACATATTCTCTCAAATCTGTTTATTCCAAAACAATTGTCAGTCTGAATTTTACCGACGCAAAATAGTAGGAGTCCTCGAACTTTATCAATCAGACTTGACGCTTTTTATTCTTATCTTTAGGTAACTTACTTCGTCGGGCAGTTTTATTATCGAAAAAGAAAAACAAGCTATCGCTCTCACCCCTTCTCTTTTCTCTTTGAAAGCAGTTGCACAAGCACATGAATATTTTTCTAGGAGATCGACGCCATTCTAAAACAAATATTTAAATGAGTGTTGCACAGCAATAATCATTCGAATGAAAGTGTTCTATAAAGTGCTCGCTGGTTACCAGGGTTTTGCAGCGTGTTGTGAAGCTCAAACAGTCAGAAACAAAATTGTTCTCTTTTGCATCAATAAATAGCAAGTGTAGGTGAAGTACATGCGACCGTATTTTTTTTCAATCAACCATCTATTTATTTATGATACAGTTGACAAACACAATAGGTGCATCAAGTATCTACAACTAACTTGTAGAAAAAAAGAACGACGCATTATGGGTAGATGTCGTTGATGACTTGTATTGAATAATCCGGAATAAATGCATCAATACGAATTTTTTTTCTTGCTCAATGCAGGGTGTGAGCGTGGACGAAGAGAAGAATCATATTCATACACTCACATCCGCAATTTACTAATTCATGTAATATTCACTCGTCGTTGATCAGCCAAAAGACAGCAGTTCTATCAGACCAATATCGTCGTTCTATTCGAGCAACTGAACTTGTGATCATTTTGCAGAGTGATCGCTTATTCGTTTTCCATTTCTTAGTCTATCAAACGATAATAGTTGGAAAAAGAAAACACATACCAATGACGATTATTATTAGCTCGATGTTATTGAAACAAGAATAGTTTTCTTGAAATCGCATGAGATCATTTGAACGGAGGCATTCTTCTTTGATATATGATGTCTCGTTCAATAAAATAGCAATCGAACAACTCATTAGCTTTTAAAATTAAATATAAGTTTCTGGAATTGAAATGAATAAAATATATTTTTTACTTTGAGTAAAAGTAATTGAAGAGACACTTATATCACTGCTTGTCCTTCGCCTTTCCATCAATGTAAAGATTTACCTGTAGTATGCGCAAATAATCAAGTAATGACAAAACAAAATATCATAGAAGTAGAAGCATGAAGAAATATGTTTTAATGTCAATGATTACAAACGAACCATGACATAATCACAATGACTCGAAAATCTATATTTTTTTCATGCCTATGCAAGCCGAAGAAATTTCAAGTTGATGAATGTGCTAACTGTTGAAGATTTTCGAGTATTGTGTCTCGATTACAAAATTGATATATCAAATATGATTATTTGAACTTAAGAAAACAGAAAATAATCCAAGAAACAAAAATTGTTGTCACAAGAAAGTATGGACACCGTTTGTAAGATTGGAAAATGTCGCATTTCGATTATTATTTGAAAGAATAGTTGATGGTTTTCGAATTAAAAATTTCTTGACCGAATGGATCAGTGAATGAACCATTAGGTCGCGTCGTGAAATAAGAATGTGGCAATGTAATATAAGCATATTACATTTGTCCGAGCTTATTTTCGATTGCTGTCATGAAGATTATTTGTATGACGTTATATGATGCTTTTTTATTTATTTATTTATCTTTATTAAAAAGTAATAAAGATGAATAAAAAGATCCCTATTAAAAAGTACCAATGAGACCCTAATCTATCCTTTTAACGAAAAAAGATTCATATAAACTGATTATTGAATTAGTATTTTCATCATAAAATAAAATTAGGCATTAACTAAACTGAAAATGTTCTTCAAAATGCAATGGTACAAAAATAACTTCACTGTATTTTGTGTAAATGTTGTTCTTTTTCAGATATCAATATCGAAACATTCTCATGAATTGAGAATTTCTTTACAACACCGTCAGATCTATGGTTCGTTACAGAAGTAGCATCGGCCATATTTGATTTAATGCTGTATATGCAGAGAAGAATTATCCTTCAATCAATAATTTTCTTTAGATGTTTTCATTGTTTCTTTTGAACAAAAAATCAACAACTTTCAGACGTATATGGTAGTTGTATCATGTGTTTCGATTATGCATAGAATCAGGTAGACATTAAAATCCTATATCTCTTATTGATAACTTAGATATGAATGATTTTCACATGATAATTGACCATATATGAGATGAG